TATTACTGATTTTTTCCCAAAGCTCACTTTGTTATTCATCATTTCAAGTTGAAGGAATCAATTCTGTGCAGTATCGACATCAGTTAGGAGTTTCTTCAGCATTGATTGCAGAGTAAGTTGATTTGATGGACTACAATATTTAATTCTATTTTAATACATGAATGTTTTTCTGAAATTGTATTTTTATTTTTTAAATGTTTTACTGTTCTAAAAGGTCTAATAAAAATTATAATTTTTTTTGGATTTTTATCGTGGGTCTCTCTGGTGGCCCTAATGTAACACCTCGAATCAGATCGGGTCATTTGTATCAGTCTGAGGGTGTTACATTTAGTGGTATCAATGCTTAGGTTGAGTCAGGTTCTTCTCGGTAGACCGGTCGGTCGACTGTCATAAGATGTCTGGTCAGTACATGCCCTTAGATTATGGTCGTACTCTTCAGAGCTGGAACTCCGATGTCGAGTCCTCTATCTGTAATAAGTATACCCAAATATTCTATCCGTTAGGGCTCGACCTGTGAAAAATGAATATCATCAATATTCATCCATATTATGTAAAGAACTTCGTGAGTAACATGAGAGCTATTCATTTGAGAATGTTGACATGGCTCATGATATGAAATTGGATTATGTTACCCAGACGTTCTGTGAGGATAAATTCGTAACCAAAGTTATAAGTGAAATTCAAAGATTTAAAACAACTACTTGAGTGGATTGAAGAGCAAAGTATTTGGTCCAGGCTTTGATAAAGTTATTTTTCCCTTAAGTTTTGTATTGATGAACCGAATTGAATAATATATGGGATCATTCTCATCCATGTTTTATAAAATTGAAATCCGATAAGCATTGAGCCTCGTACATCATTGGTATGATTAATATGAGATTAAAGGAAAACATTCATGTACGTGGTAAAAGTGTAAATCTCGAGGTGATCTCGTTACGTATGAAAGAAACTAGTTATGTATGCATGTTGCACTGAAGGTAAGCAAGAGTTATTCTCATTAAGGATTGATAATTAAGGTCTGATTGGTTCTACAAGGATTACTTTGTTAAGATTATGGAATTATGATCAGAGAAAGTTCTATCGACTAAATGTATTATAATGGTTAAGGTTCAGTGGAGGAATCACAATCATGCAAAATTTACCTAAAAGACTGAAAAATGGACGAAAGCTTAATTCTGCATCTCTCTGACTCTGTGCAGTATCGACATCAGTTGGGAGTTCTTTTGGAGTTGCTTGCAGAGTATAATATATGTGTAATTAGGGGGCATGTTGGTCATATTTGTTTTCATATGGAGTCTATAAGCTAATTTGATGGACTACATTATTGAATTTTGTTTTAATATATGAATGTTTTTCTAAAATTGTATTTTTTACAGTTCTAAAAGATCTAATAAAATTTTTTAATTCTTGGATTTTTATCGTGGGCCACTCCGGTGGCCCTAATGTAACACTTCAGATTGGATCAGGTCATTCATATCGGTCTGAGGGTGTTACAAAATAAGATACTAATAACGTTTAGAGACCTTCTTAGGGCCTCTAGGATGGTTTAGAGAGGATTTAATATGCTAAACAGGGCATTCTCGAGCATTAGTATTGATATTGGAGGAAGATTATCGATATTGTTCTTATGCAAGGCTTAAATAAATGGGTTTTAGATTATGAGTATCGATACCAAGGGCTCGGTTTTGATACCTGAGGGAGGGTCTCGAAATTGAATTTCCAGAATACAATTTTGGTACCGATACTAATGGGACTATTGGTACCAAGGGTTAAGTATCGATACTCCTCATAGGGGTATTGATACTACCCCATTTCTTATAGCTAATTTTTGTTGTTGTTGGTATCGATAGTTTAAGGGGAGTACTGATACTCCTAGGTCAGTATTGATAGTAATAGGGTCAGTATTGATAGTAATAGGTTCAATATCGATACCAACTCAGTTTTCAAAATAAAAAATTTATAGAAATTTAGAAACATTATTGAGGGACCCAAGCCATTCTTAAATTCTTCAATAAGACATCAAGTGGAATGACATTAACAATGTGATATATCACCTAGAAAACCTATAACTTAGGGAAATCATAAAACTTGCCTTATGTGTTGTTCAGAAAACAAGATGGAAACTCAAATCACTCTAGAAACAAGGGAATGATTGTATGCTAAGTCTTGGCCAACCTTAAGATAGTTCACTGTTCACTAGGCGCTTCTTTGTTAACTGGGCGTAGATGCCCCATGGCTCGATGGAGCAAGTTAGCCGGGTGTAGAATTCTGGATTCTCACCTTAGGTAAGATAGAGGGGTGCGTGAGCTTCGAGATGTAGCCCCTCAGCCACAAAATAATGCCTACCTCTGTATGTATAATTTAGTTAGAATACTCATATGCTAACGTTTATGATATGATCATGTGATTTAGAGGGTGCATATAGTATAATTTAGTTTTTAGTGCAGTACTGAGTTGGTGAGCTCAGCGTTCAGAATTTGTTTTCATGCCCAGATTAGTAGCAGAAGCTTTGGAGGAGCCATCGTCTGACAACCGCTAGCTTTTGAGTATGTCTTGGACTTTTGTCAGTGGGCATGTATTATTGTATATGAACCTTTATACGTCGAGTCGTAATGACATGTTTATTTTGTAAACTTAAGTTCAAATCATTTTGGGACTCCTCATATCTGTAAAACTAGTATGATGTATTTATTTTGTTGTTTATTTAAATATATGGATTTAAGTGGATGAATATGTCGTTTTAAAAGAAAACTTTTTGGGTTAACACTCTAGTGGTCCGTGTGACATAATAGTCCATCGATCTTTAAGTCGTAGTGGATTAGGACATTACAAAAATAATATTTAAAAAATTCGCCATGTGGGAGTGACGAGTTCGCCTATACTGTAGCATTTATCGTAAATTCTAAAATAAATTTGGTGTTGATCTATTGAGCCAATTAATCAATCCACTTGGATTATTGGCCCAATTTTACCATAAGATTTCTTCTCATAAACAAGTAGCATCATCGCTCCCATTTTTTGTGGGTCGTCGCTGAGAAAGGTAACTAGCCCATTAATACAAGATGCTCAATTTAGGCACGACGTCATTGCTATTTTCGATCTCGCCTCCTTTGGACATGTCCTCGTCTCCATCATCCAGTTCTTCGAGCGTGTTTCAGTAACAAACCAATGATAAAAAGTCGAGGGGTTCGATTGTCTTGACAGGGATAACCGAAATTGTAGCATCCCTGCACTAGTTTAGAACCCATTTCAATCTACAAAAGAGTACGTAGATAACGGTTAAAAGGGTAGAAAGATGAAACATGACGTAGTTTGTAATGAGGTTAATGCTATTCACACAATATAATTGTCTTCGATGTTAAATTTGTATGATCTTTTTGAAAGGGGAATGAGGTGAATAGGAAGGAGCAAAGGTATACAACATCAATGGAGTTGGAAGGATTAATGGAGAGGGTATAAGAAGCCGGAGAGAGATTAAGGTACAGAGTGGATAAAAGGGAAAAAGGGAAAAAGGGAAAAAGGGAAGGTAGTGCTACGGTGGAGGTGGGAAAAAAGGGGGTATTTTTTTTCTTTTTCATTTTATATTTTAATTAAATTTCATTTATTTAGATAATAAAAACTAAGATAAATTACACAAATGGTCCCTTGATTATAGGGTATTACTTTATTAAGTCCTTTGACTATTAAAAGTTTTAAATAGTCATTCGACTATAGAATGTTGCTTTGTTAAGTCCTTCGACTATTAAAAGTTAAAAAATGGTCAGTTGTATATTCATTATGTTTCAAACTCATCCATTTCCATTAAAAAATGGACAGTTGTCTAAGTTGAATGTTAACATGATGATTGGGGTCTGATATTCATTTGAGATTCTGGGATTAGATTTTATCATATCACAGTTAGCAGGTTAACGTTCAGATTTTTATCGGAAAATGGCGAGTTTTGAACATAAGAAATAGTCAGGTGATCATTTTGTAACTTTTAATAGTCGAGGGACTCAACAAAGCAACACTCAATAGTTGAAGGACTATTTTATAACTTTTAATAGTCGAGAGACTTATTAAAGTAGTATCTTATAGCCGAGGGAAGATTTAGTACTTAACCCTAAAAAATAAAATTAATGGGTGATATGGCATATTTTGATTAGTCGCCAATTTTTTTAACGGAGTTAATGATTTGAGATAAATGAAATAACGATTTAAACTTTAACAAACAAACTATTTCAAAAAATACTTTAAAAATAACTCAATACAAATAATATACTTTTTGGGGGCAACGGTGCAACGGTGCATTTAACCTTTTATATAAATGAAACAATGTTAATCTCGTGCTATATCGTTTCTAGAATGAAAGTCTTAACTGTGTAACAAAGAATTGCAAGTCAACTATATATGAATTTGAAAATAACGTAATAACTTGATATATCATCTATTCAGTAACGTTTTTCGCTGGCTACTTGCTTTCTAATCCAAGTCTTCCCCAGTAGTTGACTGCAATTATTTTTTTTGTTTTTTCTGTTCTCATTAATGACAATAAACTAGCAAACATTGGTTCGTTTTGAGTTATGGTAATTACTAATTTACTATTTATATATTCATTAAAAAATTATAAACCGAAGTATACATACGAATTTTAATTAGAATAACTTTTGACATAATTCAATATATTAAATTAAATAAGGTTAGAAATCTAAACATAATATTTACGTATGATAAATCAAAATTATTATCACCTTATAAATTCTAATATTGAAAATTTGCAAAATTTTAAAATTTATGTAGTAAGTATCTGAAAACTGAAATATTTGAAGTCGTCAGTTGGAGAATTGCTAAGAAATTCTGGGATTAATACTTCTTTGACTAATACCCATTGGATATAATTCCAATTGAAAATTCAAAAAGAAAAAAGTTTGTAAGCTTCAAGATCAGTCTATAAATACCATCTTAAGTTGTGGTATCTTCCCACACCTCAAAACACTCGTTCAATCCTCCTTTGATCCTCAAAAAATCCGTAAGTCTCCCTTTGGAATAATGGGTGTTATTACTTATGAGTTTGAGGTTACCTCCCCAATCTCCCCGGCCAGGCTTTTCAAAGCCCTTGTTCTTGAAGCCGACAAGCTTTTTCCCAAAGCTGCCCCTCATGCAATCAAGAGCGTCGAGCTCCAAGGTAATGGTGGCCCTGGAAGCATCGTCTGCATCAACTTTGCTGAAGGTTACTTCTTTAATTCCTACTTTCTTTCGACATTTTATTTGGCATACGGTAAAATTAACCTCTAAAGTTTGCGCAAAAGCCACTTTATCTTCTACTCCTTTTTAGAGGATCAATGTATATTACTTACATGATATTTTTATACGTGTTTAATTCATGTCGTGATGTGTGTTACATCACTAAAGTGATGATTAATATATACCACATCACTTAAAATGATGACGTGACATACGTTATAGCACTCAAAGTAATCATTATATGACACATAACACATCATCAATTAAACAAATATAAAAATATCATATCAGTTACATGTGTTGATCGTTAATTAATTACCATTATCATCTAATAAGAGATATTTTGATCAAAAATTAAAACATTGGAAGCAAAAATATTTTTTTAAAAAAAAGAATAAAAGCAAAGTAACTGTGTGTAACGTTGAGAACTAATTTTAACATTACGTTTTTTTCTCAAATGCATTCAAGACGAGTATGTTTGATGAAATCGTTTTATTTGCATAGGCCTTCCGTTTCAATACGTGAAGCACGCGATCGAAGAACAAGACATAGACAACTTGTCGTACAGTTACAGTTTGATCGAAGGTGGGCCTGTGGGAGACAAGCTTGAGAAAATCTCGTACGACAATAAGTTTGTGGCAGCTGAAAATGGAGGAACCGTTTGCAAGAGCTTGATGAAGTTTCACACCGTGGGTGACGGTGTATTCAGTGAAGAAGAAATTAAGCAGCACATTGGAAGAATGGACGGAGTTTACAAGGCTATTGAAGCTTATCTCTTGGCAAACCCCGATGTCTGCAACTAAGACAAGATTGCTTTAATGAGTTGTGTGGTTTCTGTGTTCGGTTGTTTCCAATAAGAGTGGCATGGCCACCGGGGTTTGTTTGGTCATCTTTTCTTTTATTATCATTATTAAAGAGTTTGCTTTGTATCACTATACATTTAATGAAATAAAATAAACGTTCAAAAATTTGGGTTTTGCTTACCTGCAATATTGGATAAACATTTCTATCACTAATGGAATTAGAATAATTACTATTGCAAATGGGGTGAGTACTTGATCGAATCGAGTCAAAAATTGAGTTTTTAGAGTTGTCGTGTTTTATTTTACAAATTAAACTTTATTTAAAAAAGTTGGTCGAATCAAATTTATGAAATTTGTTTGAGTCGAATTATTCAAGTTATATTTTAATTTAATCGTAAACATTTATAATGTTATGATACGAATTTATCCAAATTTAAATGGTTTTTAATAACTACATACGATATACATGTATATATTTCTTTATATTTTTTTCCATATGTGATATGCATATTTCATACAAAGTCGATGGACTCAACTCAAACTTAAAAACTAACTCAATAATTACTAAATATTTTGAGTTATTCGAGTCCTATTATATAATTGAAACTTTATTTAAAATTTTTCACATCAAATTTATGAAATTATGAGTAATTTTTTTTGTTTTTTTCAATTCAAGTTGAATTTTGTATTCCGCTAATTACAAATGGTATTTTATATTAACAATTGTAAAATTAGTGGTGATTAAATCGTCGGTAAAAGCTCAAGTACGTATCGACGATTATGTTTTCCGTCAATAATGTGTATACCGACATTACATGTAACAACCGTCTTTAAGCATCAGAATATCATTCTTTTCTATTAGAAAGGCTTTTGCCCTTAGCAACAGTTTTTGTACTGCCGCTATTATTTCATATATTTTTTTCTTTTGAATTGGAAATAGTTCAAAGATAAACCTTACATCGTTTATCAAAATCTAGAAATTGTAATAGAGACAGAGGAAGCTCTTCGAAGACATGTAAGCTATGGTCTTGGATGTTGTCGAGTTTAGCCATTTTATCAGCAGGTGTATTACCGCCATGGGGAATCCAAGCAAAATCAATCACCCAACTTCTGTAGTATATTCGATCAATGGTACGTACAAGGGAGTTGGAACTCAATCCAGCTTTACTATCACGGAGTAGTTGGACAACTTCTTTACTATCAATTTGGATAATTAGCTTCTAGAACCCATGGTCCCAAGCAAGTTGTAAACCTATTAGAATTGCCCATAATTCAGCCTTCAGGGGTTGAGTGATACCTATTATTTTATTAAACCCGAATATCCAAGAAACTTCAAAGCCTCTGAAATACTGTTGGGAATAACGGTCTTTCTAGCTTCGTGAAGTTAAGATAGGCACTTAGAGATTAAATGATAGTGAAGAGAGCACAAGAGTATAATTCTCCAATTTGGAGATTCTTCCACTATACAAAAAAATAGTAGGATTACAAGGATGTGTTCAAAAAATTTGAATCACACTTGGTAGCTCACTCAAGCTTGAGGATAAACACTTCCCAAGCTATCTTTTTTCTCTCTCAAAGAGACTCTCTAACTCTCTAGTTTCTCTCTCTAAGAAGTGGATTCTCTTAGTGTTTTTGCATTTTGGATGGTTAAGAATAAAGTTTCTCACCCTTATTTATACTACTCCACCTCCACAATGAATGGTGGAGATTACTTACATCCAAGGGTGGAGGTTAATTATCTAGAATGTTCCATACACTCTAAGAAACTCTACACTCTTCCACTCCCTTCCATACTCTTCCATAAGGCTCCACATATCTCCATAATATTCTATAGGATTCTACACTTTTCCACAAGCTTCTAGAGAGTTCTACACTTCTCTAGAGTTCTCTAGAATGTTCTAGAAAATTCTATACTTCTCCAGAAAGCTATAGAAATTTCTAGAACCTCTCCAATTAAGGAGGGATCCAACAAATCTCCCCCTCTTGACTTAAACTGAGAGTTAGTAGCAAGCTGACACCTTGACAGCAATCATCGAACTTCTTTATCGATATTACTTTGGTCATCATGTCTGACCAATTCTCATCTATATGAACTTTGTTAAGATGTATTTGCTTTTCCTCGATAACTTCTCAGATCCAATGATATCTAGCGTCTATGTTCTTTGTGCGGGAATGAAATGTTGAATTCTTTGTCAGATAAATTACACTTTGATTATCGCACTTTAAGACATACTTTTCTTGATCTATTCCCAGCTTCAACAACAAATTCTTCATCCACAACATCTCCTTGCAATCTTCAGTAAATGCGATGTACTCTACCTCGGTAGTGGACAATGCAACACACTTTTATTGCTTTGATTGCCACGAGACAGCTCCCCCTGCAAAAGTAGTAAGGTATCCCGATGTTGATTTTCTTGAATCAATATCACCGACCAAGTTTGCATATGTGTATCATTCCAATACATGTTTTCCTTTCCCAAAGCATAAATACCTTTTGGAAATTCCTCGTAGATATCGGAGGATCCATTTGGCTACAACCCAATATACATTCCCTAGGTTGGCAAAAAAATGACTCACGACTCCAACTGCATGGGTGATATCTAGTCTTGTGCATATCATTGCATACATGAGACTGCCTACTATAAATGAGTATGAAATTTTCTTTATTTCCTCCATTTTGTTTTCACTTGTGGGACTCTGCTTCGAACTCAGCTTGAAGTGTCCAGCAAGTGGTGTGTTAACCGACTTTGATTTGTGCATGTTGAATCTTACTAACACCTTCTCAATGCATCTCTCTTGGGATAGCCATAACAGTCTCTTTGATCTATCATGAGCTATTCACATCCTAAGGATTTGTTTAGTCGATCCCAAATCTTTCATGGTGAAACTCTTGCTTAATTTTTTCTTTAAAGCAGCTATCTTTATGTGATCTTATCCAATAATTAACATATCATCAACATAGAGTAGAAGTATGAGAAATTCACCACTTACATACTTTTTTGTGAAGACACAATGATCGCTCTCCGTCTTCTTGAAATCATGTTCTTCCATGAAAGAGTCAAACTTTTTATACCAATTCCTTGGTGCTTGCTTAAGCCCGTATAGACTCTTAGTCAGATGGTACACTAGATTTTCTTTGCCTTGAACTTTGAATCCCTCAGGCTGCTCCATGTAAATTTCTTCCTCTACATCGCCATGTAGGAACATTTTCTTGACATCGAGCTATTTAATGTCCAAATCTTGCATGAATGTTAAACCAATGACCATTCAGATGGATGATATCTTTACCATATCAGAGAATATTTCTTCAAAGTCTATACATTTTTCTTGTCCGGATCCTTTGACAACCAACCAAGCTTTATAGCGAGGCTTTGAGTTGCTATCTTTAGTCTTGATCCGATATACCCACTTATTCTTCAAGGTTCTTCTCCATTTTGGTAGCTCCTCAAGTTCATAAGTATGATTCTCATGCATGAATTGCATCTATTCTTGCATGGCTTTTCTCCACTATTCTTTATGACTATCACTAATTTCTTCTTTATAGCTTTGAGGCTCCCCCTCATCAGTGAGCATAATGCACTCGTTTGTATTATACTGAGTGGATGATCTTTTATCTCTCGAGGATCGTCTCGGTTTTAGTGTTTTTGGAGAGCTAGATTGAGGCTCTTCTTTAGTTGGTTCATCATGAGTCTTTTAGTTCTTTACTCTAACATAGGTTCATGATCTTCAGTATCATTGTTTTCTTGTGTATTATTATCCTCACATCGAACTGGATTAGGTTCGGTGTTATTGTCGGCCTCTCTAAATTTTTGATAACTTCGATTGTTTGGTCTTCGAAGAATACATCTCTGTTGCGGACAACCTTCTTCTTGACTGGATCCCAAAGCCGATAACCAAATTCATCCTTAGGTAAATGAAGGTAGATGTATTCCTTCGTCTTTTCTTCAAGCTTTGCTATCTCATCTTTGGGTATGTGAACAAATGCTCTATACCTGAATACCTAGAGATGATTGTATAAAGCCTTTTTGCATGTCCAAACTTCTTTTAGGATGCTCCCGTTTAAGGTAACCGATGGTGTGAGGTTGACAATGTCAACCACTGCCATTATAGCTTGCCCCAGAATGATTTGGGTAACTTAGCATGAGAAAGCACACATCTAACTCTTTCTTCAATAGTACTATTCATTATCTCAGATAGTTCATTCAATTGTGGTGCATTGGGTAGAGTCTTCTCTAGTCTAATGTCGTATTTATTGCAATATGCTTCAAAAGAACCTCTATACTCATATTCGTTATTAGATTGCACACACTTGATCTTCCGTCCGGTCTCACACTCCACTAGGGCATGAAATTCTTTGAATGCGTCAAACACTTGATCATTTGATTTTAACAGGTGCACCCACACCTTCCTTGAATGGTCATCAATGAAGGTGATAAAGTATAATACACCACCAATTGATCTCTCGGACATCGAACACATGTTGGTGTGTACAAGGTCTAGGATTTTTTTTCTCCCTGTGGGCGGAGAAGATCTTTGGAAAACAACTCTGTATTGTTTTCTAGCTAAACAGTGAGCACAAAGGTCAAGTTGTTTACCTTTCACGTCAGGAATGAGTTGTTTCAGAGCCAGCATATGAAGACCCTTCTCACTGATATGCCTAAGTCGTCTATAACATATCTCTACATCTTCAGTGATGATGTTTACCTCTCCTTTGCAGAGCTTAGCTTGCATCACGTACAATGACCCTTCATTCTTTCCTCGAGCCATTATTAGGCTTCCTTTTGGTGAGCTTCCACTTTCCTTCACCAAAGTAATTTATCAGACCAACATCATCTAACTTCCTAGCAGAGATAAGATTGAGGCGCATGTCCGGAACATGCCTTACATCTTCTAAGATAAGTTTGCATCAAGTGTTTATCGTCAGGATGATGTCTCATATCCTGACAATCTTGTTCTTGTCTTGATTTCCCATTTGCATCGTACCAAAGTCACCGCTTTAGTAGGATGAGAAGAAACTTCCATGTGGAGTAACATGAAAGGAAGCACCAGAA